AGGAGGTGAACTTCTAGCCCCTTGCTTGCAGCCACATTTCTGAAGAGCACTGGTCCAATCTGACACATTTGAAAACAATATATAAGTGTCTATAGGCCAAAAATTGGGTCCCATTTAGCAGCAAGCTGTTCAAATTATTTGGAAACAGTCTTCTTCCAAAGGGTGAGAAGAATTAGGCAGTTTTGTCTGCAATTTCAGATTTTTCTCTCTGCATCATGCAGCGACGAACTATGCTGTCAAAACTTCCAAGGTAAAACAAAGCAATAGTGCGGAACAGGCCCATGGTGACCACCTGCAAGATAAAGAGAGAGCTTTTAGTGCATCCAACGGTACAAGACTATTTCAAGGTACCTAGGTCTCTAATAAATAGTTTCTAAGACACATCTTCTAGTCTGCTCTAAGGATGAATATAATGAAAACTCTGTAAATGTCAGTAAGCTGTGAGAACAGAATGTGTGTACTCTGCACCGCTGGACAGCCCAGATACATAATGAAATATTTGTTCAATTAATAAATTCAAACCACAAGCAGAACAAAATAGGTATTGCTCGCAGTCTTAGGGTTATAATAGCTTAAAAAGATCCACTCCAGCATCTCGAATAGCCAAACTACAATCAAGGCTTTTTTGGTTTGAGATTTATGTTCTGAGCGTGAAAGCAAGACCCTACACTAGATGCTGAGAACACTGTGGTGAGAGACACAGTCCTTGCCCTCAGTGAGCTTATTTTCAGGCTGGAAAAACAAGTAAAATTGAAACTACTGCCTCGGGGTTGAGAGCCGTGATTACTGATACGCTGTTGCTCAGGATGGAGTGCAGCGGCATGAACACGGCTCACTATAGCTTTGACCTCCCGAACTCAAGGGATCCTCCTGCCTCATCCTCCCAAGCAGCTGGGACCATAGGCATGAGCCCCCGTGCATAAGAGAATAGAAAAATCACTGTTTTTTTTCCCTACACCCTCAGAGCACTGAACCCAGTTCTTGGATCTTCTGGAAGAAACAATGTTTAAGGTGAGACCTGAAGGAAGATTAGAAGTTGGCAGGACATAGAGAAGATTCCAGAAAGAAGAGGACGGGTAAAGAAAGAAAACAGCAGAGCCTGGAAAGGTAAGTCGGGTAGGAGATCAGGTGGCTTATGGCATGCGATGGAAATGTTTTTAATTTTTAAATTCTTTTTAGAGACAGGGTCTTGCTCTGTCACCCAGGTTGGAGTGCGGGAATATGATCATAGCTCACTGTAGCTTCAGACTTCCAGACTGAAGCAGAAGCCCCCAGTTGCTAGGAATACAGGTACACACCACCACGCCGGGCTTTCTTATTCTTTTACATTTTTATGTAGAGACAGGGTCTCACTATGTTGCCCAGGCTGGTCTCAAACTCCTGAGCTCAAGCAATCCTCCCGACTCGGCCTCCCAAAGTGCTGAGATTATAGTCATGAGCCACCATACCCAGGTGCAACGGAATTTTTAAAGCTTTATCCTGATGGTATCAAGGAGCCACTGAATGTTTTCATGCAATGTATAGTAACTGGTGTGGAAAATGGGAGGGTGCACTCAAACGCATCCAGGGGGCCTGGGCAGGGGGTTGCAGACCATAGTGGTTGCAGGGACTGTGCTCCTCCCTCAGGAGCAGCTGCCACCTGTGCTTGCTGATGACTGCCAGGTGAGAATGCAGACTCTGTGCAGCTAAACGTTCCGATTTTCCAAGAAAAGTCTGAAATCTGGACCTTTTATATGAAACCTAATTTAAAAACTATTTTAAAATCTGAAACACACACACTCATACCAGATGGACCAAACAAAACTGCTTTACAGGCCCATGGGAATCATTTACAACCTCTGGCTCAAAAAGTGTATAAGTCAGGCAGGAGGCCTGCTGTGGCAACCCAGGCCTGGGCTCCGGAAGCACTGCCGGAACTGCAGAGAATGGAAGCATCTGAAGAACAGAGTGACAAGGGTGACAATGATCTCTGATGTGAGGGACAGAAGCAGGGGAGTCCGGGACAACACCCCAGGTGTGAGCCACCATGCCAGCCCAAAAATTAAAAAATAAAAGAATTCATGCATTCGTTCAGCTCAGGTATTCTGGAGTTCCTACTAAGTGCCAGGCACTGGCTGTTAGGCATACAATGGCAAACAAGAGGCGTGGGCCCCGTCCTCAAAGAGCTTACATCTAACAGTGTCAGCCTCTAAGAGAATGGCAAGACAGTAGGTATATTACAGAGTGAAAAGAAAAGAGGGCTTGGGAAAGACCCTGAGGAAAACCAACAGCTAAGTCATTTATATAAGTCTGAATGTGGTCAACTGCACAGAACTTAGTACTTGTTAACAACCATCCCATGGCTTTGTCTTTCTAGAACATTCCCTCTATTGTAATCCTTACTACATTACACTACACTACTATCATCTTTTATTTTTTATTTATTTATTT